AGAAATCACCCCCCAGGGAGGATGGCCACGCCACAGTCTCTTCTCCTCCATTCTCCTCTCGGGATCTTGGGAATGCACGCACACGCACCCGGCGTGAGTTTTAAGCCACCGGGTCTAGGACACGAACCGTGGTTGACTACATGGGAGTCCAGCAACACCCATTACACTAACTGCTGGTCCCCGCCCTCAGTTCTTTTATTTTTTTATTTTTTATTTTTTTGGAGAGGTTTTCGCTATAGGGCACGTGTGCTCGCCAGACAGACAGAGAGAGACATAGAGACAGAAAGCGAGAAATCACCCCCCAGGGGGGATGGTCACACCGCAATCCCTTCTCCTCCATTCTCCTCTCGGGATCTTGGGCATGCACGCACACGCACCCGGCGTGAGTTTTAAGCCACCGGGTCTAGGACACGAACCGTGGTTGACTACATGGGAGTCCAGCAACACCCATTACACTAACTGCTGGTCCCCGCCCTCAGTTCTTTTATTTTTTTATTTTTTATTTTTTTGGAGAGGTTTTTTGCTATAGGGCGCGTGCACTCGCCAGACAGAGAGAGACAGAGAGAAAGAAAGCGAGAAATCACCCCCCAGGGAGGATGGCCACGCCACAGTCTCTTCTCCTCCATTCTCCTCTCGGGATCTTGGGAATGCACGCACACGCACCCGGCGTGAGTTTTAAGCCACCGGGTCTAGGACACGAACCGTGGTTGACTACATGGGAGTCCAGCAACACCCATTACACTAACTGCTGGTCCCCGCCCTCAGTTCTTTTATTTTTTTATTTTTTATTTTTTTGGAGAGGTTTTCGCTATAGGGCACGTGTGCTCGCCAGACAGACAGAGAGAGACATAGAGACAGAAAGCGAGAAATCACCCCCCAGGGGGGATGGTCACACCGCAATCCCTTCTCCTCCATTCTCCTCTCAGGATCTTGGGCATGCACACACACGCGCCCGGCGTGAGATTTAAGCCACCGGGTCCGAGACACGAACCGCGGTCGACTACGTGGGAATCCAGCGACATAGCCATTACGCTAACTGCTGGTTCCCGTCGCCCTCAGTTCTTTACTTGAGCAGGCATCCAGCATTTTCTGCCTGCCAAAGAGAGCTAAATATATGGTCCTGGGGTCTTGCCACATTCCAGGGTCATCCAGGGACCCTCAGCCTCTGCAGTGATGTCTGGGCTTTTTATTTTTTTCAAATATTAATATTTATGCAATGATGGTATCTTCACTTAGATTCCCTAGACAGATCAATAATTAATATATTTACTAAAAACCAGACATCGCCTCATCAGAGTCCTATGCAAAGCAAGCTCTGTGCTTCCCAGCAACCACACTTCTTTCTAAAAATGTGTTATCCTCTGCTAAGAACACTTGAGCTTCCCATTGCTTTTTCCCTTCTATTGTTTCCATCTTACCTAAGAGGTTTTAGGCAAGTTTTGTTTCCTTCAGGGTCACCTGCTAGAAAAATGACTGGGAAGGGAGACTGGACTAACCTCGTTCCTCCCTCTGGAGACACAATTAGGAGGGTCAGTAGTCGGCACATCCTCCTGTCTCAGGTCAAGATACCATCGATTCCCACAATAGCTATTTCCTTCCTTTACCACCCCCAAACTCCTCAAGCCTTCCAGACCCCTTCTCCCTACCCTCAACATCCAAAAGGATATCCTATTTCAGAGAATAAGGCAAACACTGTTGTGATACTCTCAACAGATTGAAAACTTGTATGATTACCTTGCCCACTCACCTTCCCCTGGATTCCTGTCTCTGATCCCAGATACGCATCTGCACCAGGGCCTGGTCTTTAGGCTTTCCCTCCATTCATCTTTACCCTCAAGATCTGCCCCTCCCTCTGCCCCTGCAATATCAGTGGCTCCCTCTCCCTTCTGGTTCATTAATCTCTCCTTTTCCATGTTTTCCTAACTGTCTAAAACATTCTGAAAACACTAGGAGACTTCAAAAAGTTAGTGGAAAATGAAATAAAAATGTGCTAATTTTTGTGCAAAAAAACCTTGAAATTCATATATTGTTTTTTCATAAGACATATGTTCCATGAACATTTGAATATACCATATACTTTTTAAAATTATTTATTATTACTTTAATTTGTTATAGGACATATGCACTCTCCAGAGACAGAGAAAGGGCAAGAGAGAAAGCAAGCCACCAGGTCCAGGACTCGAACCACAGTCAGTCATGTGGGAGTCCAGCACCTTAACCACCATGCCACCTGCTGGCCCAAAGATACCTTATACTTCAGACCCTTCATTCTTATTTTAACTTAATGCATTTGGACCCCCATCCCACTAAGACACTTTCTGTTGAGGTCACTAGTGACCTCCTTCTTGTTAAGTCTCACTCCTCATTTCATTTCTTGTCTTAACCTCTTGGCAATTTTTGTTCCACTGTGCCGCTTCTTCTTTTTTAATACTTTCTACACCTTTGGCATTCATCACGCAGTTCTTTGTTGGTTTCCTCCTACCTGTGAAGTCCTTGCCTCTTGTAGCCTTTGTAGGCTCATCCTCAGATACTGGTAACCTCTGCCTCTCTGTCCTTCAACTCCCAAGTAACAATCTTTGACTGTTTTCTTCATGCTCAAGGTACTGACCCTAGAGAATGACATCTACTTTATGACTTTCACTACTACCGAGATACTGAGAAATTCCAAATGTAAATGCTCAATCTAGCCTTCTCCTCCAAGTTTCAATGAGGGTCCAGAAGTTGACCAGCTCCATGTAAATTTCCCACAGACACCTCAGGTTAACATGTCTCTAACCCTGTTCTCTCTCTTGTATTCTCTATCTCAGTGAATGGCATCTCTGTCCTCTCAGTTGGACCTGGGTGCTATGCCCAGTAAGTTACTGCTCCTCAATATCTTTAAGTTATTTTCTTTATTTCCACTCATCCATTTCCTTAGCTCTAAGTTCTCATAATTTCTCATTGGGATTCCTTCAATGACCAATTTGTTCATGTCTTCAGGTTTTCTTAAAATTTTCCCATTTTTTTTCTATGTTTTTACAATGGGAATTTATTAATACATTCAGTACAAACACTGAAATGCTATTTAAAAGTAATGTCCATGCAAGATCCCTGCCCAGTAGTTCATGGCTACCCAACTCAGTGCACAGGCTGGACCAGCTTAGAAAACTAGACACTCCTCTGGCCCCCAGCATATGTCTACTCCTTCCCTTTCTGTGTGTTGATACTTGTGACACTCAGCATGCTAATTTGAGCAGATGATTCATGGGTGGACCAGCAGGAAGCAGAGAAACCTAAACTAAAGAGCCAAGGTTCTACACCTATTTCTGATAACAAGGTGCGTGATATTAGCAAGCTACTTAATCTCTGAGCCTTAGTTTTCTTACCTGGGATATGAGGATAATATCACTGATGTCACAGCCTATATAAGATCAATATGATCTCTTATGTGAAGGCGTTCTAGACTGATTCCTTCCAGGAGTAAGGTCCAAACCATAGATCACAAGAGAAAAACTCCAATTCACACCTCTTACTTCCTTTAGGGTCTAACTCCAATATATTTCTTCCCTTCTGCTCCAATAAATCTTTTCCTTAGGTCATTTCTCTACCTTGGTAGATTCGTCTTGTCTCCTCAGCTTGTCAACCATCTTAAAAGGTGGGCCCTGCCTCCCTCCTCCTTACTGTTTCCTCCACATAGTCTAGGGCAATCTCTCCGAAGAGACTGCTTAACAGATGCACAGAGTCACTAATGAGGGATGAATAAGGGGTTGTGTTCAGACCTCCAGCCAAATCTGGAATTTATTTTCTAAGCTCCAAGAGTGAGTTATTTTTTACGAAGAGGAGGACAAATGAGGGCATGTGGGTGCAGGATTGAGGGCAGGGCTGGAATCAACTTACCTTTACATTGCAAACCCTGCCGCAAGAGGCCCCAGAGCAAGGACCCACAGTGGTCGCAGAAGGTGGGAACCTTGTAGTTGTGGATACCAAACTTGTGGGGCATGTTGACACTGAATCGCTGTGAGCCCACCTGCAGGGACAGCAAAACACAAGGTCACCACCAAGCTCCCTCATGTCTCAGAGTGCTCATCATTGGAACACTTACAGAACTTCTTTCACAGGTCATCGTTGAGGGCAGGCCTCAGGTTGGCTCTGAAATCTGCCCTGAGAAATGAGGCAAACCGCACCTCCATCCTAGCCTAAGCTTGCTCCTAGAGCCCTGAACAGACTGCCACACTGCTGGGTTTTGCAAGGCCAGGCCCGCTCTCCCCTGTGTAGTTCAATCCAAGATTTCAGGCCTTCAAGCAATCACAGAACATACTCTCACCACTGATGAAATATCACTATGTGCACTCAATATAGGGAAGCCTCGCTGAGGCAGAGTCCTTGAGCAGCTTGACAGTGGACATGTGATTCTATAGAGCAGCATGTGAACTCTGCACAGGGTCATGGAAACTCGAGATCATCAGACAGGACAAGCAATAACTACAATGATGATGGCCAAGGCTGGGGCAGGGATGAGGGGGGGTGCTCACTAAGGACACTAAGATATCAGTGCTGACTGTAAGCCAGGCACCAGTATCTCAGTTAAACCTTACCATCACCTTTCAGGGTAGGTGCCATTATTACACCCAGTGAACGGATAAGGAAATTAAATCATGGTGAGATTAAGAAGCATGCTTGCTATCTGATCAGGGGCAAAGACAGGCCGCCATCCCTGTAAGTCTAAATCCAGAGCCCATATATTTAAATCACGATGTGGCCTCTTGTTGATTATTTTAAAGGAATAAAGAAAAAGTGGCAAGATAGCAGGGGAAGGAATTAGGACCAGGAGTTCAGGTATGTGAGACATGGCCCTGGGTCTGCCACAAAACACCCGTGAAGTCTCAGGCAGGTCTCCTAACATCTTGGGGCCTAGAATATATCATCTGGCAAATGAATATGGTCCTGTGCCACCTAAAGACATAGATTATGGAGCTCAACAAGATAATAGAATAGAAAAGGTGGGAAAGATGAAGCATATCATGGGGGTCATCAGTACTGTACACCTTTCTGGGTTGTCATCTCTGCTCCACAGATCTATTCTCTGCCCATGTCTCTAGTGGAACAATCACAGACCTAGGACCTCTCAAAAGGACCATAGATCATCTCCTAGGACATGTATGGGCGAGAGAAAGTCACTACTGCTACTCTGGGAATTTGGGAGTGGAGGGCATACAGCAGAGAACCTGGCCCTTGGGTCACTGGCTCACCAAGGAGCAAAAATGAGAGGGGAGAGAGGAGAGTTGGACATAGGCTTGAATGTACACACAAAGGCACATCCATCCACATTAATGCTCAGGATCACCTATCATCCAGCTCCAAGAAACAGCTAGTCCAGGCCAGTTGGTGGCATGGTGGTTAAGGCACCTGGATCCCATATGGCCAACTTGCCAGTTCAAGTCCAGGACCTAGAAGCTTGAGAAACAAGTTATGCACATGTGTGTGTGTGTGTGTGTGTGTGTGTGTGTGTGTGCATTCCCAAAATCCCCAAAGGAAGAAGAAATGAAGGAGAAGGGATTGAAGTGTGACCACTCCTCATGAGGAGGTGCGGAGGGGTACTCTCTCACTGTTTCCCCACATTTCTCCCTGGTGAGTACATATGCCCTCTGAAAAATTTTAAATAAAAAAAAAATAAATGGCTGGTCCTTCCACTGAATTAGGATTTTTCTGACCCCTACTCAAAATGCATATACCATTTATGAGGATGTTGCTTAGGTACATGATTCTCAGATATACTGAAAACAATTGACCCACCCCTCCATAGGTTTGTAGCCTAAGTGTGCCTATTTGTCAGTATACACATGTCACCTTCTGCTAGTCTCACATCTAAGGATATATGAGATCATTACTACAATTTCAATCCTGAAAACGTGGTGGTCCCATACAGGAACAGAATCACTTTCTCCCAGGAATAGGGTTTTCATAGGAGTATGAATGACAGATGAAGAGGGAGGGATGCTGTCTCAGGTTACTAGAAGAATCAGTGTGGGGAAAGCTATGTAGCCTTCAGTTGGAACCACTAAGGATGCTTAGGTATCAGACAGGTGGCAGATGAAGGAATGCACACAAGAGAACATCATGGAGTCAGAGAGGCAGACACACAAATATGAAGACCATACTCATGCAGGCAGACATGTGGAAGAAATGAAGGAGAAGGGATTGAAGTGTGACCACTCCTCATGAGGAGGTGCGGAGGGGTACTCTCTCACTGTTTCCCCACATTTCTCCCTGGTGAGTACATATGCCCTCTGAAAAATTTTAAATAAAAAAAAAATAAATGGCTGGTCCTTCCACTGAATTAGGATTTTTCTGACCCCTACTCAAAATGCATATACCATTTATGAGGATGTTGCTTAGGTACATGATTCTCAGATATACTGAAAACAATTGACCCACCCCTCCATAGGTTTGTAGCCTAAGTGTGCCTATTTGTCAGTATACACATGTCACCTTCTGCTAGTCTCACATCTAAGGATATATGAGATCATTACTACAATTTCAATCCTGAAAACGTGGTGGTCCCATACAGGAACAGAATCACTTTCTCCCAGGAATAGGGTTTTCATAGGAGTATGAATGACAGATGAAGAGGTAGGGAAGCTGTCTCAGGTGACTAGAAGAATCAGTGTGGGGAAAGCTATGTAGCCTTCAGTTGGAACCACTAAGGATGCTTAGGTATCAGACAGGTGGCAGATGAAGGAATGCACACAAGAGAACATCATGGAGTCAGAGAGGCAGACACACAAATATGAAGACCATACTCATGCAGGCAGACATGTGTCCAGCTGCTCCTACCGAGGAGGACACAGTAACACAGGGCAAAGGCAGGCTCGGAGAGGACATGGAACCAAAGACATAGGCAGAAAGAGGAAAGTGTAAGATCCAAAAGAGGAGGAAAAGAAAGAGGAAGACGACACAGAACATTCCTTGGTTAACATTCTAAGAAGTATGGGGAAGGTGAGTGCTAAGCACTGACACACAGAGACACAAGACAGGGCAAGTGCCTATGGTTCAAAAGATCCAAGAGCTCTATGAAAAAGCACCTTTTAATAGGATCAAAGGCCTTAGAAGCATGGTGCCTTGAATGCTTTGAATGTGTTGGGGTATACACACGTGTGGGTACACCTGCATCACACTGAAGGTGTTGGTTGACAGATGATCCTGAGTACATTACACAAAAGGATGAACTCAAAAATTGGTCTGCAGCAGAGTAGCAGTCAGCACAGGGCACACTCACCCCCACAGTGGGCCATATACACTGGTACTAAAGGAGAATGGCCTCAGGAAGTATGAGATGGGAGCAGGGAAAACCAGGAGGTGCAATCAATTCTGCCAACCTTAGAAACTCAAAGCTCCCTTCTCAATCTTTGGCAATGTTGTCCTTGTGATATATGCCAAATACGGGGACACACCTTACTGAAGACTAGTTTTCACTGTTCAATACTCCAGGAAAGACTGTCACAAAAACTAGGGCATGGATTTTGTGCTAGGTTCTGAGCATTTCAATTCCCCACCCTCTAATCTACATGGCATGGACTCTTAAAGGACTTTTCCCTCCCAGAAAGTGTGGAAGAGCTATAGAAACCTGCAGAGACTCACAGGTAGTGAGACTTGTGAGGTCCTCAAGGGCAGGATTATATGTGTTCCATGGGATATGCCAAGATGCCTTCCTACAGGAAGTACCCAATAAATATTCATCAAAATATCCATAGGAAAGAAGGGAGTCAGATGGCAATTAGGCCATCTCCTTTCATTTTACTTGTAATGGATATAGTTGGGGTTTTCACCCTAGGCCAGGAGGCAGGACAGTCCAGTGCTGCTTGCAATTTTAACCATTACAGGTGAACCTCTGTAAAACACATGAGCACTTGGGCTGTCTGCCCTTCAGGGATATTGAAAGCTCAGCCTAATCTTGTCCCTTGTTGCTGTCCAGAGATGGCATGAAAGCAAAAAGATATAAAAGACAGAAAATGCCTTAGATGCCAAGATGCTAAGTTGTTGTTAAGGAATAGGTGGAAGGTCCATCTTTAAAAAGGACTGAAGCCAAATTACAAAGGAGAGTCATTGTATATGCCTCCACTTAATATATACCAACTGTCTGCATTCTATGGCTGAAACTGAAAGATTAGAGGATATAGAAACATGGAAAATGGCTATAGATACTGGATACAGTGTGGAAAGAGGGTGGAGAAGGAGGGGAGTCTGAGGAAAGACATTAAAGAGAAAAAAAGAGAGACAAGACATTTATGGGACACAGAAATGGATTATTACCTGTTGATAACATGTATGGTATCTCCAACAGGTCTGATGTGAAATGTATTCATGTTGGAAAATACATTTTACAAGCTAAGTGATGTATAGTGATTGAAAGTATAAAAGAAATTAAAATATATTTTTAAAAGAAAAAAAAAACAAAAAATTATAAATCCACCTGATTATAGACCCCAGCTGATTATAAACCCATTCCAAGCCCCTTTTTCTGATCCCCAGTTCTAATAGCCTATGATTATATATTATTTAACCTAAAATTGAAAGCATGCCTTTGAAATCAACCACCTTGAACACAGTTAACCCCTATTCTCAGTCATATCTGCCATTTTGGTCAAGGGAGTTTTTAAATCTATCATTGGTAACACCATTCTCCCCAACACTAGATTAGGAGAAACCTACCTACACAGTTAAATTTTATTTCTTTATTTTTTTAATAATTATTTTATTTAACTTTATTTGTTATTATTTTCCAGTTTGATCAGAGAGAGAGAGGGTAAGTTTGCTCTAGGGTACATGTGCTCACACCAGAGACAGAGAGTCAGACAGAAAGTGAGAAATCATCCCCTGGCAGTTGGCCATGCCACTATCCCTTCTATTCCATTCTCCTCTTGGGATCTTGGGCATGCACATATACCTGGCATAAGTTTAAAGCCACTGGGCCCAGGACTCAAACCACAGTTGACTACATGGGAGTCCAGCACCATAACCATCATGCCATCTACTGGTCCCCAAATTTTCTTTCTTTCATTCCCCCTGGCAGCTTCCCTAGTAGCCAGTCCGACACTATTTTCTAAGGTTAAGAGATAACACTGTGCAGTGGTCAAGGGCTCAGACTCTAGAACAGACGATCTAGGTTTGAATGTGGCTCTTTCACATATCAGCTATGTAATTTGTGACAAGTTAATTTGACCTCTGTGTGCTTCTATTTTCTCTGTCATATAATGAAGATGATAATAGCATCTGTATCTCATTAAGACTGTTATGGGATTAGGTAATAGTTGTTGAAATGCTTAAACTAGGATATGGTAAGTACCCAGCGACTGTTGACTCTTAGCATTATTGTGATTATTTCCACCTCCTGAGTGTTCCTTGAATTTGTTCATTCCACTCACTGCCCCATATCCCAATTAAAGATAAGGTTTCTGCTGTGTGCTGTTTCTATCACTGTTCATTACCTGCATAGAGCCATGGACACATCAGTTAGCCACTTCAGTGTTCCGAGGAGATAATGACATAAAATAATTCACATTTCCTTGTGGGATCTAGCTCAGGAATCATACTGCTCTTGGCACGATATGTACAAGGATAAAACTTACTTGGAGCTGTGCTCATTCTATAGATGGTCTTCCGAGATGAGACTCATCAACAACTCCCTTAATTTGTGATCAACAAGAAAGTGACGGGATCACAGCAACATCAAGTTTTCTTGGGGACCACAGAGGAGGGAGTGATGGGAGGGGCTGACAGTGAAGAAAGCCCAGAATTCCAATGTTATATTTACCTCGTCAGGCGTTTCCTGTTTCTTTAATCCAGCACACTTCGTAATTATGAGCTCATGACATCGCTTGTGGACCACACAAGTGCACACTGCAAAAGATGACAAGGAGGCTGAACAACAAGTGCATGAATAAAGTTTTCATTCCAAGGTATAATCAAGTCCCTGCAGAAGAACAAAGGGAGGCATGCTCCTTCTGTCACTGAGTATTAATTTAATATCCTCGCCAAAGTCCTTAATGCAGTTAGCTCAGAGCACTTTGCCATTAGGGCTTCCTAAATGTCTTGAAGAAGAATGAAACATTTACTCTCAAAGCACATTGGCAGTTTGCTCTAATTCCGGGAGTACTGATCAATTTTCATGCTTTGATATGCCAAGATCAGGGAACAACTTCCTTCTCAGCTCTCCCATGGGTCATTGTCTATTTTTTTTTTAAGAGAGGTTTTTTCTAAAGGGCACGTGCACTCAACAGAGAGTTAGAAAGTGAGAAATTACCCCTCAAGGGGCATAGCCCATGCTACAATCCCTTCTCCTCCCATCTCCTCTCAGGATTTTGGCCATGCACACACATGGCACCCAGTGTGAGTTTAAGCCTCTGGGTCTGGGACCTGAACCACAGTCGACTACATGGAAGTCCAGCAATGTAACCATTACACCATTTGCTGGTCCTGGTCATTGTCCATTAGAGATGTGGTAATTGTGCCCCGCTCAGGATGAGGCCAGGGTGACTAATGTGATAGGAAGAACTGCAGCAAGTAGCACAGAAATTCTTAGGCTTTTTAATCTGGTTATACCGGTTATATGACAAACTTAAAATTTTCATTGAACTTAATAGGTCCACAAGAAGCAACCTGTACTTCTGTCTTCAGTGTCATGGGGCAGTGTGGAACATAGGTGGCTAAAGAGTTAAGTAACTCTCCTTACACACAGGCTACCCTAAAGACACGATGTCTAGCAGAATCTTTCCAAGTTCCCTCAAGAGAGAAGCCCAAGTTAAACAGTGCTAGACCAAGAGATGGAAAGCCCCATGCTCAAACCACAGAGAGACCTCTACATGACCACATCACGTTTCCACCCTCCAATTTTGTACAACTGAAGTTTGCATGTGTAGTCAACTAATGGGGAAAAAAAAGAGTCCTCAGTAACTTCAAGTGAGTTTTACATTTTTCAGAGCTAATGATTCCACGATAGAGACAAGAATGAGAATCGGCAAGGATACTTAGTGATATTAACTAAAACAATTGGGAAAAGAGCAACTCTAGGGAGCAAGAGAGGAAAGGAGCTGGCAAATACACAAAACCCAGCTCAGCACAAAGTGGGACTTTGAAAGAGCCTCTAATTGCAGTGTTCCATTAGGTTGTCGGAAAAGTCATGACTTATTTTTTTCTATGCAAAAATGCATCATGACTTTTCTGAGAACACAGTAGCTCTCTAGGAAAGATAAAAGTGCTGCCTGCTGCAATTGGCACAAAAAGGCTGGGTGGCTTGGAGACCTGCTGAGGCCAACTGGTCCAACTGGAGAAAGGTGGTCCCTGCAAGACACCGACCACATCTGTACATAGAAGTAGTGGCCAGGTGGGGACCAAAAATCAGGGCCCCATTTCTCAGAGAGGCTGCAGAGCATGTGAGTCAGGCAGAGCGCCTCCAAATACCAACAAACTCAGCACACACTTTGTAAGAGCACTAGAGATCTGGCTCTAGCCATGGGCCACAAAAATTAAGTTCTTAAAATATCTCTTACCTTGACACTGGTATCCCTGCTTTCCTATGACACCCCTGAAAAGAAGAATATAACCTTTTAGGACAATGGAATTTTACTAGGTCAAAAAACAAATGAAGCCACCCAATTTTGGCCTCTTCCCACAGAGCACCATGGAGTCCACAGAGCAGTGTGATTTCACTGTCACTTACAGAGTGCCTTAAAAATGCCTTCTTCCAAAGGCACCAAGGGAAGCCCCAGTGCCTGGAGTGGGCGTAAGGTCTGTTCAGTGTCAGAGCTTGGTTTCCTATACAAACCGCCATTCCAGTGATGTCAATAGTCTTCTGGAAATCCACAAGTAAACCTACTTGTTCTCAGCAGGCCCCAGTTGAGTATACCCTTCCTTGTGGATAAAAGTGAATGTTCCTCAGGACCAGCAGCTGGCGTAATAGTTTCATCACTGGAGTCCCATATGTAGTCAACTACAGTTTGAGTCCCAGACCCAATGACTTAAAAATCACACTGGTGCATGCGTGTGTATGTGTGTGTGCCCAAGATCCTGAGAGAAGAATGGAAGAGAAGAGATTATGGTATGGCCAATCCCCCAGAGGTGATTTCCTACTTTCTATCTGTCTCTCTGGCAAGTGCATGTGCCCTATAGCAAAAATCTCTCTTAAAAAAAAATAAAATAAAAAGGATGTCCTTCCTCTCCCAGCACCAATACAAACTCTACAGACTCTCTGATCATAAAGGAGGGCTGCCACTGGCTGTCATATTCCTTGGGCATTCTTTTTTTTTTTGGAGAGATTTTCACTGTAGGGCGCGTGCGCTCGCCAGACAGACAGAGAGAGACAGAAAGCGAGAAATCACCCCCCAGGGGGGATGGTCACGCCGCAATCCCTTCTCCTCCATTCTCCTCTCGGGATCTTGGGCACACACGCACACGCGCCCGGCGTGAGTTTCAAGCCACCGGGTCCGGGACACGAACCACGGTCGACTACGTGGGAGTCCAGCGACATAGCCATTACGCTAACTGCTGGTTCCCTTCCTTGGGCATTCTATAGACCACCAAGAGTATGGGCTAGTCTGTGGCCAGGACTGGGGGTTTAATCTACCATTTTAGTAAAGGCTACCATGAGAGGTTTCCTTTTAGTCCAAGCAGGGTTCCCAGGGCAAGGTTTAAAGTCAGCATGGACACAGAATAATCCAGCCAACCTGACCTTACCACTGACCTCAGTAACTGCTGGTCAGGGAGCTCACGGCAGTTCTCAGTCCAGTAACAGAAGCAAGAAGTCATGTGGGCTATACCCAGAAAACACAGGGCTCAGTGGCATTCTTTGTGGGTGTAAGACCAACCACTCAATTCATGAGAAAAACATAGAAAGCGGAGTTCAGACACTTGAATCATCACTGGGAAGAAGTGTCTACCCAGAGTGGGGCATTATTTCTGCTACGGTTGGATTGATTTTGCCCTAAGCTGTGTCATCTCAGATGTCCATGCCAACCTCAGTTAACTTGTTCTTTAACACCACAAGGATAATACAAGCAACTTCTGGACACCTTAGGAATCCAGGGGGTTCCACAGAGCCCAGTAAAATGTGCCCTGGCAGAGTTCATATTGAAACTTGGCCCTATTCATTCTCCTGCACTGGAATCAAGCATGTTGGCAACCTTTATCAGCTTACAAGAACTCAGATAGCTTGCAAGAAAGGCTTGTAGGATGTCAGGGAACACCTCACACCAACTGCAAGGTCCAAAGGATGGGACTTGGATCCGAAAGCTCTGAGTTTAAATCTTAGCACAACTTCTGAGCAGTACGACCTTGGACAGATGGTGTTTCCTCACCCTAAGCCTCAAAGAGCATCTCCCTCTGTAAATGAGGATAGCAGAGCCAACCACACAGGGAGACTTGGGCTGAGGGGGGCAATCTGCTCACATAGCTGACTACCTGGAAAAGAAGTTTTTTCTTTTTCTTTTTCTTTTTTTAATTTGCCAGAGGGAGCATGCACTCACCAGACAGACAGATGGGGAGAAGAGAAAGCACCCTCCAACCGGAATTGGTACACTACTATCCCTTCTCTTCTATTTCCCCATCTTGTAAGGATTTTGGGCATGCACACACATGTGCCTGACATGTTTTTGAAAATACTAGTGCCAAAATTTGAATCCCAATGATCGGTCATGTAGAATCTCATTTCCTCACTACTAGGCCACAAGGCCAGCCTAAAATTTATGTATAAAGGCAGGTTAACCAGGTGTAGAATCATTTCTCTGACACTTTCTCACTAGAGGACATTACAACGTCAGAATAGTCTTTTTTTTTTTCTCATTTCTGAATCTTGGTAGTATAAGTGAATTGGAGCTAATACTACATAGCTGATAGGATATTAGGCAGCTTTAATTAGATATTTCCTAGCATGTGGTAGATAGCTATAGTTCTCCAAATCCCAAGATCAGTGCTCCATATTTTTCTCTACCTCCCAAAAGGCCTACTACACATCTCTTCCGGCCTATCAAATCCTAGTCATCATGAAAGGAGAAATGTCACCTCCTCAGGAAGCCTTCTCTGACTACTCCGGCTGCTATTCTCTCCCTCTTCTGAAATCTCAACATTCTAGAAGTAGCACTATTAGAAGAATTAGTAAGAACTGCTTTGTATTACAAATATTAGCAATCAAGTATTTTTAAACTTTATTATGGAAACATTTAAAACATATATAGAAGTGGAGTGATGAATATAATAGATCTACACATACCCCAAACCCAGTTCTTGTCATTTTCAACACATGGCTGGTCTTGTACCAACTCTACCTCTGTCCCCTCTTCCCACCTTCAAGGGTTATTTTTCAACAATCTCAGACATCATAGCATGTGTACATAATTCAGCTTGTCTGCCTAATTGATAAGGATTCTTTCATAAAAATCACAATATCATTACTGTAAAATCTTAATTCCTTAAATATCTATAATCTTAAGTATAAAGCCAGCAGAAACCATAGTTTCTTCCTTCCGTGTATTCCTCCCATACATTGAACACACACTTAGCCCTCTACAAAAGTCTTCTACAACCAGATAAAGACATAAAGCATACCAACACTTTCTGAATGCAGTTTATAATCTCTCCCATTCCACTCCTGAGTTCTTGCCACAGAGAAGTCATACCTAGAGGTTTCCAGGAGAGAGAAGCTTACCAGATAAAATCTCTGCAGTGCGAACAGTAGGTGGGCTGCCGAAGATAGGTGGCCATGAACTTGTGGCCATTGACCTGGTGGACCCTGCGCCTGACGGCCCCCTGCCGCTTCCTTGGCCGCATGCGCTCCCTGAACACACGTTCTTCATTGTCTTTAGGGGCTAGGAAGGACAAGAGCAGAGAAGAAAGCAGTCTGAGTTACTGTATTGGGAAATGACCTCCGGCTGAAGAGCTCCCCCCCCCTCAGGTAAGTGCCTTCACTTGTGCAGGGATGGTCTGAGGGATCTCCCTGTTCAACTGAAGTGAGTGAGCACACATGGGGTGGGAAGACAAAGATCGTCTTTCCCACTACATCTAGGGGTACCCTCAGATCCATTGCAGTATGAACTCTGCTCCCTATGTGGCCACCCATTCTTCCCCAAATCCACTGCATGGTCCAAGGGATGGAACTGGGATCCAAAAGCTCTGAGTTTAAATCTTAACACAATTTCTGAGCAGTACAACCTTGGATAGATGGCGTTTCCTCACCCTAAGCCTCAAAGAGTATCTCCCTCTGCAAGTGAGGATAGCAGAGCCAACCACACAGGGAGACTTGGGCTGAGGGGGGCAATCTGCTCACATAGCTGCCTACCTGGAGAAGCATCTATATTATATCTGACTTCTCTCTTCTCCTCCTTTCTTGGACTAGGACAACAAAGAACCTTTTCCCAAAGGTCAAAGGTGAAAGAAATATAACCCAGAGAATGCTGACAGTTTCCTAAAGGCTCATGATCCACCATCATGGGCTTTAAGATCTTATTGGAGGCCAAAGGATCTTCCTTATTTTCTTCCACTGAAATTGCCCCAGACCTAAGAACACCTTGCAAGGGGACTAGTGAACAACAATACAAATGATAATCATGATTGTTATGGATGAGTCAGTGCTTGCACCAGCCCCCCTAAATTCATGTTTCAACCCTAACCTTCAGCGTGCTGGTATTTCAAGGTGGATCCTTTAGCAGATAATTGGGTTTAGGTGAGGTCATGAGGGCGAGACCTCGCCACAAAGGGATTGGTGATCTTATAAGAACAAGAGACCACAGTGAACACGTGGTCTCTGCCACATGACCACACAGTGAGAAGGTGGCCCTGTATGCAACAGAAAGAGGATCCTCACCAGAACCCAACCATGCTGGCACCATCATCTCAACCTTCTAGCTTCCAGGACAGTCAAAAACGAGTACCTGTTGCTTAAGCCACCCAGTCTGATATCTTGTTCTGGCAACCTGAGCTAAAACAATGATGAAAACAGCTAACATCTTTTCAGGTCTTACCCTGTCATGTGTTCTATGCTAAGGGCATCACATGGAGTAACTCGATAAATCCTCACAACAATCCTGCTTGAAGGGCACTGCTATCATCCCTGTTTTATAGATAAGTAAACTGAAGAATAGTGTGTTGAAGTAACCTACTGCTGTTAACACAGTTACTAAGCGGTGGAGCCCAGTTTCTAACCCAGATAGTGGGGGAGAAGCCAATATCCTACTGTCTACACACTATCTAGGATCAGCTCACTTGCCCTGTAGCAAGTCCTCAAAGCTCTCAGCTGAGTGACTTCATTATGAAAAGTGTCAAACTGTCTGTGGCTTCTCTGAGGGCAGAGTGGGAGGCACTGAGTCTCCTGCCAAGCTCCTGGAACCTTCATGCAGGTCCTGGAAGTTCCCCTATGTGGCTCTCTTCCCCCACCCAATACTTTCCACACCAGTCAATACCTGACATCCCACCATATCAGTGTCAGTCCTTGGAGGAAGAAGCACTGATTCTCCTGGACTTCTTTCATTGTAAGGTGTCCCACAATGGAGGTCACATGTGAGACCCACACAGACATTTAGTCAAAGATATCTTGTTAGTACAAGAGGAAAAGCAAAACCAAAGAAAGAAAATTGGCCAAAAATCTAGTTTGTACTATTAGAGGGAAGCAAGCACCAAGCAAATGGGAAGCTGATTCTGGGAAGCAACCCTCAGTTTCCAGGATGTCTCCCCAAGACAGGCTGTGATGAACCAGATGGAGTCTGCTCGGTGGCTCCTGCTTCTGAAGGAAGATAGAGACACCTACACATACCGCCACTCCCCACCCCACCCC